TTTCTATTTTAAATAGAAATTATTATTAACTTTTTATAAAGTTTATTAAATATAAATTTACTAATTAACCTTTTTTTTAATAATTTAATTACCTTTTTAGATAGTAAACTTTTAATTTTAAATTTCTATAATAGTAAGTTTCTATATAAATAATTTTATAATATATATTAAGCTTTTTAAAGCTATATATAATATTTTATTTAAATTAAACTTAGATTTAATTAATTTTTAAAAAAGATTTTTTTTATTTTATATTTATTTAATTTTCTTTTATAATTTTTAATTTTTAATTTATAATTTATTTTTTATAAATAAATATATATATTTTATCTTTTCTATAGAAAATATTTATTATATAATTAGTAATTAATTACTATATTTATTTAGATTATTTATTTTCTATATTTTTAAAAGTTTAAAATTTTTAAATAAAATCTATTTTTTAAAAATAGCTTTTTAGATTAGGATATATCTAGTAATTTTTAGTAATATAATCTTAGTTTAAGTTTAATATAATTATAGAAATTAAAAAATTATAAGGATATATTATATATAGTTTAAGGAAAAACTAATATTATTTAAAATTATATTTAATTAAAAGTTAATTAAATAAGTAAACTTTAATTTACTTTCTAGATTTCTTATATATTATATAAGCTCCTTTTTTTTTAATTATATTCTAATTAGGCTTTATAGTTAAGTTATTTTAGTAGTAAGTTTTATAATATAGTATACTCTTACTTATATTTTATAAGAAGATATTATATAAAAACTAATATAGTAAAGGGTTAAATAGAGATTTAGAATAAATTATTATAATTATAAATCTAGGTTTAGATTAAGAGAATATTTTATTATATATAATAAATTATTAAGTTAAAAAGTAATAATAAATATAAAAAGAAGTAAAAATATATAAAAAAGAAAAAAAATATTATTTAATATAATTTTATTTAGTTTAATAAAGTTATTTTCTTATTATATAATGTAGGTCAGGCAATGACTTTTTGTAGCGACCTTCGTAAGTAGCTAATATTTAATAGTTTTCTTTATTATTTTGTTTAGAGTATCGATGCCCCTCCTAAACCTAATGTGGCGAGGCGGCGGTGGTGACTCATCACGCCTGATTTTTCTTTGCCCCGCCAATGGAATACATCGCGGGAGAAAACCTTTTAAACGAAAAGTATATGCCAGTTCAGGTTCTGATGCTCCCCCACCCTCTTGAGTCCCCCCTGGCGACATCTTCAATCTCAACTGATTTAACACCATTTCCTGGTAGTCTCGTCTAAATACCATGGCTTCGTCGTCTCAGACGGGCCCGACCCGTATCTCTATATTAGGCAAGGATACGATTGTCGTCGACAATGGCATTTGGCTCAACCTAGTAGCGATCGACTTGCTCCAACATCTTCGAACATCGACCTATGTCCTTATCACGGATACTAACCTCTTTGACACTTATGTGCCAGTTTTCGAACAGTCTTTCCGAAAAGCTCTAGCGACAAGGACTTTCCCAACTACCCCACGACTCCTGACCTATGCCATACCACCCGGCGAAGGATCGAAAAGCCGTGAAACCAAGGCAGAGATCGAAGACTGGATGCTTTTGCAACAATGCACTCGAGACACCGTAGTTATAGCCCTTGGAGGAGGAGTCATCGGAGATATGGTTGGTTATGTCTCGGCTACGTTCATGAGAGGGGTTCGATTTGTTCAGGTCCCCACAACGTTGTTGGCGATGGTGGATTCCTCCATTGGAGGTAAAACTGCCATCGACACGCCCGTAGGTAAAAACCTTGTCGGAGCCTTCTGGCAACCGGAACGCATTTACATCGATCTGGATTTCCTGGAGACTCTGCCAACACGGGAATTCATCAACGGTATGGCAGAGGTTATCAAGACTGCGGCGATCCGCGATGAGGCCGAGTTTCGCAATATGGAAGAGAATGCATCGTCGATCCTTGCATCCGTCCAGAGTCGAAATGCTGAACGTGGCATGTCCCGATCACTCGCGCCGATAGAAGGCATTCTAAAGCGCATTGTGATCGGGTCTGCCAGGATAAAGGCGGACGTCGTTTCAAGCGACGAAAAGGAAAGCGGCCTTCGAAACCTTCTCAACTTCGGGCACTCCATTGGTCATGCAATAGAGGCAATCCTGGCCCCTCAACTCCTGCACGGCGAAGCTGTTGCTATTGGCATGGTGAAGGAGGCAGAGTTGGCACGGCATCTTGGCATATTAGCCCCGGGGCCCGTCGCGAGACTTACAAAATGTATAGCTAGTTACGGCCTCCCAACCTCAGTTCACGACAAGCGTGTGGTGGAGTTGACTGCGGGAAAGCAGTGCCCAGTTGATGTTCTGCTCGAAAAAATGGCCGTGGACAAGAAAAATGAAGGTCGGAGCAAGAGGATCGTGCTTCTCTCGGCAATTGGACAGACTTTCGAACAGAAGGCCACGGCTGTTGAGGATAGCGCTATCCGCGTGATTCTTTCTCCCGCCGTGCGTTTACGGCCAGGAGTTCCTGAGGATTTGAACGTTGTTGTGACCCCACCTGGATCAAAGAGTATCTCCAACCGTGCGCTGGTTCTCGCCGCACTTGCGAAAGGGTCGTGCCGAATCAAGAACTTACTCCACTCCGATGATACCGAGTATATGTTGGCGGCGATCAACCTTCTCGGCGGTGCCACTTATTCCTGGGAAGACGGCGGTGAAGTCCTCGTCGTCCGAGGCAATGGTGGGAGCTTGCATGCGAGCTCCGAGCCTCTCTATCTTGGGAATGCCGGGACTGCGTCGAGGTTCCTTACGACTGTAGTGACCATGTGCAAGCCTTCAGGTTCTACCTCCTCCACCACGCTCACGGGCAATGAGAGGATGAAAGTGCGCCCAATTGGACCGTTGGTGGAGGCTCTGAGGTCCAATGGCGTGGGCATCAAGTTTCTGGGCAAAGAAAACAGCCTTCCCATCGAAGTCGACGCCGCTGCAGGGTTTTCGGGCGGCTCGATAGAGCTAGCTGCGACAGTCTCGTCCCAATACGTGTCGTCAATATTAATGGCTGCACCATACGCCAAAGAGCCTGTCACTCTTCGACTTGTTGGTGGGAAGCCTATATCCCAAACCTACATTGACATGACTATCGCAATGATGTCGACGTTTGGCATTCATGTGCGCCGATCGCAAACGGAGGAAAATACATATCACATCCCCAAGGGAACTTATCAGAGCCCTTCCACGTATGTTATTGAAAGCGATGCGAGTTCTGCTACGTACCCGCTGGCGGTTGCTGCCATTACCGGGACTACCTGCACGATTCCAAACATTGGGTCTGCGTCTCTTCAGGGCGATGCACGATTTGCAGTTGACGTGTTACGGCCCATGGGTTGCTCCGTGAAGCAGACCGATAATTCCACAACAGTCACCGGACCGTCTCCCGGCGGGCTGAAGGCTCTCGACCATATTGATATGGAACCGATGACTGATGCCTTCCTCACCGCATCTGTGCTGGCGGCCGTAGCTCAAGGCACCACGCGGATTACGGGCATCGCGAATCAGAGAGTAAAAGAATGCAACCGCATTCTTGCTATGAGGGAGCAGCTTGCCAAATTCGGTGTTAGTGCGAAGGAGCTTGACGATGGAATTGAGATAGAGGGCGTGCAAAGACAATGTCTGAAGGAGCCATCTGGTGGCGTATACTGCTATGACGACCACCGAGTAGCAATGAGTTTCAGTGTGCTCTCCCTCGCCTGCCCTGAGCCGGTTTTGATTCTAGAACGAGAGTGCGTGGGTAAAACCTGGCCAGGTTGGTGGGACACCCTCTCCCTGCGATTCAAGGCCGGTTTAGGGGGGGTTGATAGCTCCCCATCCCATGCAGAAGACACTTCTGGTGCGCCGGAGCGACCTCAGTCCATTTTCATCATCGGCATGAGGGGTGCGGGCAAGACGACGATGGGACGGTGGGCAGCTCAGGTGCTAGGACGTGACTTTATTGATATGGACGAAGAGATTGAACGCCGCGCCAAGACCTCCATACCTGACATCGTTAGGGGTCCAAGTGGTTGGAAGGGCTTCAGATCCATGGAACTGAGCGTCCTGCGCGATTTCATCGGCCACCGAGGCCGTGAATTAGTGGTTTCGTGCGGCGGCGGGGTGGTTGAGACTCCTGAAGCCAGAGAACTGCTTGTCGCCTTCCACAAGAGTGGCGGACTTGTTCTCTGGGTCCATCGACCTCTTGAGGATATCGTGGCATATCTTTCTCTGGACAAATCCCGACCAGCATACACGGAAGACATTCCGGGCGTTTTCCACCGCAGGCGACCATGGTACGAAGAGTGCAGTAATTTCCAGTACTTCATCCCCGATCTTCAGGGGACCGGCACAGTCGGCCAGATCCCACCCAACTTCCAGCAATACATTCAATATATTCTGGCAGACTCGCACCACTTGGACCAGGTCATTCACAAGCCGCAAAGCTTTTTCGTCTCACTCACTGTGCCGGATGTGGCGGGTGCTCTCCAAGTTCTCCCGGATGTTATTGTGGGCTCTGATGCCGTCGAGCTTCGGGTAGACCTGCTTCGAGATCAATCTGTAGAGTTCGTCGAGAAGCAAGTGGCTCTTCTCCGCGCGGCTACCGCAATTCCTATTGTTTTCACAGTGAGGACAGTATCACAAGGTGGCAAATTTCCCGATACTGCCTATTCGCACATGAGGCAATTATACCTCCAAGCAATACGCATGGCCGTGGAGTACGTCGATGTTGAGGTGACTCTGCCCGCGGACATTATCCAGGAAGTGGTTTCGTCTAAAGGCCGCTCTCGCATCATTGCATCTCACCATGATCCCCAAGGCCACCTTTCGTGGAGGAATGCTGCGTGGGTGCAGTATTACAACAAGGCGCTACAATACGGCGACATCATCAAGCTCGTTGGTTTGGCGAAGAACTTGGGAGATAATTTCGAGTTGGCCAGGTTCATAACAAGGGTGGCGTCTAGCCGCAGGACGCCCATAATTGCACTCAACATGGACCGACATGGGAAATTAAGCCGGGTGCTGAACCGCTTCCTGACTCCCGTCTCCCATCCTTCACTGCCTTCCAAGGCAGCGCCTGGTCAGATGTCTGCGGTCGAAATTCGTCAAGCCTTGTCACTTTTGGGTGAGATTGAACCGCGACAATATTACCTGTTTGGCTCACCGATATCAGCGTCAAGATCCCCGGCGCTACACAACTCTCTCTTCAAATTGACCGGCCTGCCTCACACCTATTCCTTGTTTGAAACGAACGATTACGAATCCCTGAAAACGATTATTCGCGCGGGTGATTTTGGGGGTGCCTCCGTCACGATACCTCTGAAAATTGATGTACTTGACCTGGTCGACGAAGTGACAGAGGCAGCCCGGTTGATCGGTGCCGTCAATACTCTGATCCCTGTCAGCAAGGGCGACACGGAAAGTCTTTTCATCCGTGGTGATAATACTGACTGGATGGGGATGGTCCACACTTTGAAAACCGCTGGCCTAGAAGATCAACCAAGTGGCAGTGGGCATCCCAGTCCCGGCTTAGTTGTGGGGTCTGGTGGCACAGCGCGTGCTGCGATATATGCGTTGAACTCTCTTGGCTTCTCCCCGATTTATGTCGTTGCTCGCAACCCAGATCGCTTTAAGGAACTCGCCACCTCGTTCGACAATAGTGCTTCTCTCAAACATCTCACTGACCCCGGGCAGATACTTCATTCCTCGAGCGGGCGGCAACCCTGCGTGATCATTAGCACAATACCGGCCGACAGGCCGATCGACCCCGCCATGCGCGAGATTCTCGCTGCCGTGATTGGAACCCCGGCGCCGGCAGGGAAGCCTCAAGTGCTTCTCGACATGGCCTACAAACCTGCTGTAACCCCTCTCATGCAGCTTGCCAATGATGCCAACTGCGGCTGGGTGACCGTCCCCGGTCTAGAGGTTCTATCATCTCAGGGGTGGTATCAAGTAAGTCCCACTCGTACCCGATCCTACAGGTAGGCATGCTAATTTCGACTACAATAGTTCCAGCTCTGGACGGGTATTACTCCCAAGTTCTCTGATGCCAGGGCCGCTGTTATCGGCGAGCTATAACGACGCTCCAAATATGCTATTTTCTTCGCTACTCACTTGGACGGGGTAAACAAATGCTCTGGGGAGGCGACGCCGTAAACAAATGCCCTGGGGAGGCGACGCCTAGGTGTAACTCAAATAAAAAGTCTCGTTTCCTGTATTAATTAGCAATTGAAAATATTTCCTCTGCCGTCCCTTACACTTTCTTCGTTTGTCTAAGCTACATCTATGTACCAAGTACGATTCTGCTCCCATGCGTTCCGATACCATCAATTCCCTGTAGAGATGGTGTGTACATGTATGTCGCCTTACAGATTCCAGGTGCCTCTGCGAAGAAAGTGCGGTCAATATCACGGAGCATAAAACAAATTGATATGTCCATGCAAGCCTCTTTTGTATTGACAAATCTTTTTTGCTCTTTTCAAAATCCCTGGTCTAATATCTTCCATCCATTCTAGAGTCTTTTCGCCGAAAACCACCACTTCCCGATTCCATCTAAAATAGTCCAAGTCCCAATGCCTCTATTACAAACGCCGGACAGTAAGTATCATGTCGTCATTATATCTATCGTTGACCAATTGAAAACGCCATTAACAGTAAAATAGCAAGTAATATACAATTAGCTATTGCCCACATGGGTCATAAAGGTTGTATTTGTTGCGTATGTTCCAGATAAATCCGTGCAAAGAAGGAAAAATAATGTGAGTAAAGAAAAGAAAAAGAATAAAAAAAAAATTAAATCCAAAGAGGTGAAAAGAGAAGAAGAACGTTGTTTCTTGCAGAGGTGGAAGTGGAGGATCGGCGGAATTGAAAATATCCCATGATATAGGAACCCGAGAAGGCGTTTCGTGATAGCCAAGATGGTGTTTGGAATGACGCATGATTGTGAGATGGTGATCTGCTTGTCGAGGAAGCCAGAAAATGACGTCAGGGCCGGTAGTCAACGTTCGATCCATGGTGCCAAGGGTGGTGCGGAGTGGCGCACTTCTTCTGTGGGTCTCGTAGGCGACAAGGGTAAATGTACCGGCTTGGACCAATAATAGCGAGCTTCTGACGTCAGGACGTTCCTGATGACGTCGTCGGATTGACGAGTCCTGGTCCCTGCATTTTGGTGGGCTGTGTGATGGAAGTTTTCCCCCACAGCCGACGCAGCATGCGCCGCTTCGTAACGTGGACTTCCCTGAATCTATCCCATCGAGTATTTCGGGATCCAGGGCACCTAGAGAGAGATCGGCCACTCCCGAAGAGAAAATTGGTTGGTTCCTTCTGGATGCGTGACAACTAGTCGGCGTGCACATTTCGCCTCCGCCTGTGCTTTCCCGGCAGTTCGACGTCCGGATGGCACACGCGGTAGTGCCTGGTAAGTGCGTCGGCACGACTAAAGAGTTTCTCCTCAGTACAGAGATCGCACCGAACTTTTTGCTTTCGGGCATTGTGAATGGTATCCTCGTGTCGGGTCAGGTCGTACGGTCTAGAAAAGACTGCCTTACAGACCTTCCCCGTCCCTGGATTGACGCGGTAACACCGATGGGGTCCGGCCTGCGTGTCCACCACGTTGCCTTTGATACCACGCTGGGCTGACTTTAGACCCCCGGCCTGTCTGTGGCCCTCTCTTTTGTGCTTTTGTAGGAGAGCAGGTGTGTCGAAGCGTAGCATGCACCCGTGATATGTACAGCTATATGTACCGCCATCGTCATGGCCGGGTCTCAACCCAGGTGGGCCCATAGAAGCGCTGGTATTGCCATTGCCTTCGAAGGAGATCGCCGAAGGAAGTACATCTGGGTGGCCGAAGGGAGAAAGGTCATGCGAGGCGTATGCATTTGATGCACTGGATGGTATGTAATGCTGGGCGGTGCTGATAGCCTCGTCATCCATCACCGAGTACTGGGGCCGGACGTTTTCGCATTGCCGAAGGGAAGCTTCTTCGTCAGTAAGATGTTCCATCCCTCCAAAGCGACTAGATTCAGGTCGCGCAAACAACGGAAAGTTTGCTCCACCATCGGCTTCTGAAAAATCGAGCATCGAATCTCGGGGCGAGATTGTCTGGGGCGTGTTGACTTCGCTGTTTCGCAGTAGTAGCCTATCATCTTCCAAAGGCGAATCGCCATGGTGATGGGTTAATGCGTGTCGCGGAGTCTGGTGAAAATCGGTTGCGCCATTCCCGTCGCGCATGGAATGCGCTAAGGACCCAGCTGCGTTGAGCCGCTGTGAGAATATATCACTCTCAGGCGAGGTCTGCGGGTTGGGGTTTGACGAGGAAGACGCTGTCGAGATAATGTCCAAATTAGGACTGTAGAGTCCATCATTGTAGACATCCGTCATTGTTCTGTCCAACTTGGGAACGTCGGGCATCATCACTAAGTAGTCAGAGGCTGGTAAGTTTGCGAACGACGTGGTAAAGTCTGTGTTTGTGGCCTCGGGCTTCTTACTCCGACGTCTTCCCATCTGGTCATTTGGCGCTAGGTAAGCCGGTGAATGAAGAGGACCACCCTCGTTCTGAGCATTTGGACCGGAGAGCGTGCCTTCTGGGAGTGCTCGAGGTTGGTTTGTGGGCGCATCCAGGGGTTTCTGCGGAGCGGACTGCTGGTTTCCGGCATAAGTGTTCATGCTGTAGGGGAGTTTGGTCGAGGAATTGTTCATAGGGAGGCCGTAGAGCTGCGGTCCGGTGTAAAGATACTGATCCTGCGGTAGTGGCATGGAGTCAGGAGTAAAATGATAATTCCAGGGACTGCTGGTGTGTCCGTCCCGAAAAGCGTCGTCCATTGAATCTGTTACAGCAATCTGGGGGGTTGAGATATTGGGGCTGCACGGGGAGTTTGGCCCCGTCGACCCTAGAGTCGAGGTGAGAGATGACTCGCGCTGGTGAGAAGATCGGCTCGTAGCCTCTTTCGAGAGACTGATATCCTTTCGCCACCACGGCCTGTTCTGGTAGAGAAGCTCAGATAGATCGCCTGTAGGTAAGTCTGCGACTCGGTCGATGGATGATTCCATGCTCCGAGGGACGGCAAACATGGATGATCTGGAAGGAGATGCGACAATGGAATCGGGGTCGGGGCCGAAAGACTGCGCTATCGAGTATAAGTTATTCGAAGGCACAGACGCTGGTGATGAGGTGCGCTGAGATTGATTTCCCGTGAAACGGGAAGAGTTTCGATGTGATGAAGTGTGTTGAGGTGAGTGCAACATTGCGAAGATTAGATAGTATCGTCGAGATATACGAATATTAAGACTGTGGATGGGAAAAATTACAAACGTGATCCAAGGTGGCAAAAGTTGGGTGTCTGCGACTTATGTACTCAGCCAGAGCGTCGCCCGATGACCTCGTGGTCTTGGTGTACTTCGTACAATTGTAGGCTCTCGGCTAGCTCAGGGCTAGTCAAATGCTTACGGAGGCCTGGCGTTGACGTCGACGGAGGTTCCGATACTTTCGGCGCACCAATCAATTATTAATGCCGACCCCACAAATAAGGCGGCGATCTACACAGGTACTTGTAGACTACCAAGACCCTCCCAAGGACTCTCGCTTGGCGCACGAGCATTACCGCCCATGACACCAGTTTCTGCTCGGGTTAGAGAGACCATTCCACCACCCTCTCTCATTGTCGATGGCATTCTTTGTCTTTCCTAACTCTTCGCTTCGCGTCAACCCTTCGTCATGCGTCCGCTTTAAAAAGAGTGAACCAGTACCTGGAGGACTTTAGCCTTTTTTACCCAATATAATTATTGCTGCTAGGTTGAGAAGAGAACGAGGACTCATGACCGTAAATCGACGCCTGGCGAATTTGGCTCCTCTTGATGTCGACCGATATCCTGATTGTGGATGTCTCGGTCGCCCAAGCAGGAAGTGCAGCGCAACGCTCGATTTCCGGAAAATTTAAACTACAAGTACATCTGTCAATTGATCGATCCGTCGCTAGATGCCGGCATGGCGAGCTTCCGCCGGCAGAGCGCGAGAAAATGCGAGAAGACGAAAATTTCTTCCGCTGACGAACGTGGCTTGACAGCAGAGTTTGCATGGTGCGAGTCACTCGTGTGACCGTTGCGATTGTTCTGTGGTACCACCATGCTATGAGTCAGGCACGACTGTTCCATGTTGGGACCGAGGTTCGGTGGGGCCGATCGGAGTCCTCCGGCTTCCCTTGACATCAATGCAGCCGACACCCATTGAACCTGTCACGAAGAGCACCGAAAGCGGTTGTCCCCGGACTTGTCCCCTTAATGGCGCTTCTTTCTTTCAAAAATTTCTTCTTCATTTTTATTCCTTTCACTTCTAAAATACTAATCTTAACTCCGGATCCAGCTTCTCGGGTCAGGAACGCTGCCCGACAGCCAGTAAAATCATCTTCAACCGGCATATTCCAGCTGTGTAATTGATGGGTAAGTACTGAGGTATGCGCACAGCCACTCAACCAATTGATGCAGTTTTGTTGTTCTCAGTCCAACTTGGAAACTGGTCGACTTCTGTGCGTCACGCTTTCAGCTTTTATCATCCTGGAAAAAACCTTGCCCGCATCCTGAAATTTCGAATTGTTCCCAGTCAAATAATGCTCGCGCCGGCGAGAGCGACTGGTGATTACAATCCGAGGCCCATCTAATAGCAACAATAATAACAATAACAAAAATAGAACGAGTCTACTCCGTATTCTGTTGCCTACCCAGATCCTCTTTCCCAAAGGGCACATGTTTTACAGCAACATCTTGTTCGCACATGCGATCCGCTACACACACAACTGTCGACTAAAATGTCAATTCGGCATCATTTGATACAACTTGAATTAAAATTGAAATCTCCGTTTGAACCCCATTCCCCTATCCCATGTGTATAATACATTTAACCAGACGAAACAAAATCCGAACCCATAATCATTCGTAACATTGAATGCAATCGCCAAACCAGTGCTAAACCACCAGACAGGAGAACGTTGACAAGAATACCAATCAAGGCGAAAAGATTTAGCCGCCGAAACCGTAGAGCGTACGTCCCTGTCGCTTCAGGGCGTAGACAACGTCGAGAGACGTCACAGTCTTCCGTTTCGCGTGCTCGGTATACGTGACTGCGTCGCGAATGACGCCCTCGAGGAAAGACTTCAGGACGCCACGCGTCTCCTCATAGATCACTTGAGGCCGTTAGCAAGATAGTAACGTGGAACCAGAGACACGACAACACATACTGGCAGAGATACGCTTGACACCACCTCGACGGGCAAGACGCCTGATGGCGGGCTTTGTAATACCCTGAATATTGTCCCGAAGAATCTTTCGGTGGCGCTTGGCACCACCCTTGCCGAGGCCCTTTCCGCCCTTTCCACCTAGGGAAAGTTTAGTCGCTGACATTAAACCGAATGGAGGCTTCATGTAAACTTACGTCCGCTCATTTTTAGGTATTGTTGAGAGGTATTTCGAACGGTGAAATTGTAAAAAGAGAGGTGATGATAAATTGGCTCTCCGAACTTGATAAAGTCTAGTTCAGGTTGTGAGACTTGGAACGCGTGAAGAGGAGGTGGGGAACCCTTAAAAAGCGAATGAGAGTGACACTCAATCACCGCAAGTCAGCCCGGCCCACATTATTTTAAGTGCTGGAAATGCTCATCACTCATCGCCCATCAGAGAAAGCGCGAAGTACGTACCTTCTGTGCACAGACCATGCCGTATCTTTAATCCAACAGTTTGATGATCTTCGGGCTTGTTTACTTCGAAGTAATGGGGTACATTTCTTGAGAGAAGCACGAATTACTTCCTTGTTGAATGTCTTACTTCGTACGAATATCTATTTTACCTCGGCAAATTAATACTTTCTAATTGCTAGTGAATAGAGCAATACTCTCTTTAAAGGCAGAAGTAACTCCAGGAAATATAACTCGTGGTAGCTGCTGTATGCGGTCCATTTGCCTCACTCCAGTCCGTTACATCGCCGAGGGTTTTCTTCACTGTACGAATTTCTGAGATAGGATGCCTCTGTAACTTGTAAAGATGCAGTCTAATATATTCGTAAAATGCGCAGAAACCGTGAGAGGTCTCATTATCATGACGCGTTCCGCGTCTGCCCAATCTTCACCATACCAAGTGACCTGCATCCATTCCCATGAGTTAATGTGGGGTGGAGGATTCGGGACTTTGTTTGGAATAATTCGCGTCAAATCTAGCGCGTAGCAAGTGGATGTGGTGGATTACCTATGTGTGGATCAAGATTTGGGAAACCCTGACCAATCATCAAATCGATACCGTTGGCGCAGGCAACAAATAAAAAATAGGGAACAGCCAAATGGGGAAAGATTTTTTTTTTGGGCCAAAGAATGCGCATTTAACCCCTGCCTTGACGTACAGAATCCCAATCAGCCAACCCCACCTGACTCATCAGTCACCTACAAATACCATCTCACCCCCCAACCTGGAACCTTCATTTCTTCCTCTTCAACAACAGAGTCCACATCAATCATCCACAGACGGTTTCATCACCAAAACCATCAAAACAACCATATTCCATCACATCCACAATGGCCCGCACCAAGCAAACGTGAGTTTCATCCGATGCAGCATTTATTATTCCATTTTCTAACCTTCGCACGATTTTAGCGCCCGTAAGTCCACTGGTGGCAAGGCTCCCCGAAAGCAGCTCGCCTCCAAGGCTGCCCGCAAGTCCGCCCCTTCCACCGGCGGTGTCAAGAAGCCTCACCGATACAAGCCCGGTACCGTCGCTCTTCGTGAGATTCGACGATACCAGAAGTCGACCGAGCTTCTCATCCGAAAGCTCCCCTTCCAGCGTCTCGTTCGTGAGATTGCCCAGGACTTCAAGTCCGATCTTCGATTCCAGTCGTCGGCTATCGGTGCTCTCCAGGAGTCCGTCGAGTCCTACCTCGTCTCTCTTTTCGAGGACACCAACTTGTGCGCCATTCACGCCAAGCGTGTTACTATCCAATCGGTAAGTTATTCCTTCCAACACTCGCATCCTCGACGTGTTCTAACCCTTTCTATAGAAGGACATTCAACTTGCTCGCCGCCTCCGCGGAGAGCGCAACTAGATTTGAGATATTATCTCTTGGCGACAGGTAGCGATCCTGTCATTGGTTCATGATTGTTTTTGACATGCTTCATCACGAGGGCACCGTGTGGTCGGTTATGGGTATCTGGCGTTAGACGCGTTGATTTCGCAATGGGCTGGTTGTACATTATAATTAGGCTCAAATAAAGCCGTTTGATCAAATTATTCACAAAGTGCTACGTGTCTCGAGTAATTGTGTGTTTGTGTGTTTTCGTTTGCAGAATTGTCTGGCGTATTGGCGTGGCGGTCGCGACCGTGTCTGGTGTACAAAGATGAGGGGTGTTTTTGTTTACATTCAAAGCCTCCAACGCGTGTCGTGGTTTCTGGCACTCTTGCGCTTCAATGTTCGCCAGGCCTTGCATGTTTTTATTGCCCTACGCTCTTTGCAAGCGACCAAAAGTTGTCCATCTTGTAACGACCTAGAAGCTCCCTAACCTCAGCGTCGGTTTCGCAAACCTTGCTACCCCATTTCTTGAACGCCCTAACCTTGACTTGGCCTTCAAATACAATCTTCAAGTCGTTAGAGGAAAGGTCTTTGAGGACACCTCGCTCGTCTTCCGCCTGGAGCCAGGAACGGGGTGTGTTTTGTTGGTTCACCGTCAGACGGGATGGGGCATTCTCTGTCCAGTCGATGCGGTTGACCATCAACTTGCGATATTGTCGAATGCCCTGCTCCCCACCCTCTGCGATGACGAGGTTAAAAGTTGGATGCATAATGCAGATTCCGGTCAGCGCTAATTGCTCAGCGTTCTTGCTTATCTTGAACCGGTGTTGACCGTTGGCAAGGCTCTTGATCCTGAAAACCACCAGGTGAATTCCTTTCGCGGCATCCCTCTCATGACCTGCCGCGATTTTTTCGTGCCTCTGGTCTTTTGTCAATTTCCGCTCTTCGTTAACCTGAAGATGCTTCTGTTTCCGCTCCAAAATCTCTCGATTAACCCGTGCTTCCACCGCAGTGGGATCCTTCACGGCTTCTTCTCCGAGAACACGCATGAGGTTGGCCTTCTTAACCTTGGGCGGCGGGGCCGGGATGAGGCCTAGCTTTTCCTTGGCCTGTCTCTCTTTCAGATCGGCCATTCTTCGCTGACGTCGCATTTTCTTCTGCTCCTTGCTTGTGAGGTACATAGGTTTCGGAGGTGGTATGTTCTGGTCTTGGGGGGGATCGATGGCGACTGGATGCTGAATAAACTCCGTGACAATGCTATCGGTAGCCCGAACCTTCGTGCCTGTAGAACCATCGATGCTTGAATAACTTTTCTCGGTCACAAGCCCTTCATCCCACCACTCGATGTCAGGAGGGTCCTCCGTGGCAAAATTTTTCTCCACGTCCAGCTCATCATCAATGCCTGCCCTCCGCGTTTGCTCGGCGATGCGTTTCTTCATGGCCTCGAGAGCTGCCTGGCGACGTAGCGCATTCGCTTGTAGTATGAACTTGCCCTTCTGATTGAATATTAACTGTCTGGGCTGCCTCGACCTCACGGTCTGGCTTTCATGCGACTCGTCATAGTATGGATTAGGTTGCGTGCTTGTAGGTCGCTGTATGGAAGCGGTGTGGGCGCCTTTTCCAGGTTCGGGCCTATCATTCGCAGAATCTTGCCGATGCGGATGATGTGGCGATTGAACGAGGCTTGGTGCCCTTGTTGGTGCCTTCCAGGTTCCTAAATCCTCGAGCGCTGGGTGAAGCCCGACGTTTAGACCACCCTTCGCCTTGCTGCTCCCGATTGCTGCCGCGACTCTTGCTTTGAGCGCGGCCATCTTGTCTGCCGCCGATTCCATTTTATTAATTCGAGTCGACGAGTCTGGCCGGGGACCAAGGTTGCCCTGTGCGTGGTGGCGATCCATGTTTGGAAGGTGATTCCCTAATACTATCCCACGGAAGTTGATGTGTTGGAGTTTGTTGACTCTCCTTTGTTGAAAACAAATGGCCGGGGAGGTGTCACAAAGACCAAGCAACGCTTTGTTCCGCTCAAACCTGGTCCGTAGATGTCACTTACATAAGTTCACATTGGGTGCGTCACGTGATAAGACCAGCTTCAAAATCTTGGTAGTCTTGGCGGTGGGACCAAGATTTTGCCCTCTCTCACCGCTCAAATTTTTTTGCTATGAATTTTTTTTTTCTGTGAATTAACTCTCAAGTTACCGAAGAAGCGCATTCGAGAGCCCATGTTATGAGACCGAGATTCCCTGCCCCACGGAAAAAACGAGAGCGCTTATGCCAAGATGAATATATCTGTCCCTGTGGCGGATGCCATTGACCGGGTCGATTTCGAATTCATTTCTACCGATGAGATCCGAGCTGTTTCCGTAAAGCGTATCCAGAATGACAACACTTTCGACAGCTTAATGCTGCCTGTTCCCGATGGCCTCTATGATCCTGCCCTCGGAGCGTGGGGCGACCTGCCGTGGGTTTATTTCCCTCTAGCTTCACGATATTACGTCCTAACAGTACTCCATATAGTTGCGATACTTGCCATCTTCGAAATGCACAATGTCCTGGTCACCCAGGTCATATCGAGCTCCCTGTACCAGTCTATCACCCCGTTTTCATGGATCAGGTTCTCCGGCTTTTGCGAGCTCAATGCATTTACTGTCGCGGCTTTAGAATGAGCAGGAAGAATGTGCACGCTTATATTTGCAAATTTCGGCTCTTGCAATACGGCCTGCTCAACGAGGCTGCATCGATTGATGTCCTTGGGGAGGATGTTCTCGGCATCGACCGCGGCTCGGACTACTCTTCTGGTGAAGCTGAGGAGGAGGGTAACCCTTTCACAGACTCTGCGATCAAGTCCAGAGAATCTTTTGTGAGGGATGCCCTGCGACATGCAAAACGGCGCGGCAACGATCCCGTGAAGCACGAAGGTGCTACCCAGATGCGAAGGTCCTTGATTAAACAGTTTCTGGCCGACATTGTCAAAGCCAGGAGATGTGCTACATGTCAGGGCATTAGCCCTGCCTATCGCAAGGACCGATTTGTCAAAATTTTCGAGAAGGCGTTATCGGCAAAGGACCGAGAGTTAATGGCGATCAAAAACTTGAGGGCGGTGGATGCCATGGCAGCCCTCCGTAAAGATAACCCGGACAAGACTGGCCCGGCCGAGAGTGTGTTCAACTCGGGCTTGAGTCCCCGCTCCGATAGTTCAGATGGTGCCGACGACGATATTATCGACCGTCCCATGATGCAACCCCGCGAGACCACAGAGGCACAGCGCTACCTGGATGCTATGGAAGTTCGTGCAAGACTTGATCTTCTCTTCGAGAAAGAGCAGGATATCATGAGGCTCTTGTATAATGGCCGTGCGGTGGGTAAATCCGCGGTCAAAGTTACGGCCGAAATGTTCTTCCTGCAGGCTGTCCTGGTGCCGCCGAATAGATTCCGACCTGAAGCACGGATGGGCCAAGATCGAATAAGTGAGGCTCAGCAGAACGCTCTTTACAAGAACATTTTAAGAAGCTCTGAACGGGTTGTCCAAGCTCATCGCGATCTCCGCGACGAGTCCTCTGCGATGCCCGGGGAACGGCGCCGAAAAAACACGCTCGCGTCCCTCCACCAAGCGTGGACAGAACTACAAGACTCTGTGAACTGCCTGATTGACAAGACAAAGAGTCCTGTGCAGGGCCTAGCCGCTCAGAGGGTCGAAGATGGAATCAAACAAAAACTGGAGAAGAAGGAAGGCTTGTTCCGAAAGAATATGATGGGAAAGAGAGTCAACTACGCTGCCAGGAGTGTCATATCGCCAGATCCCAACATTGACACGAACGAAATTGGAGTACCCCCCGTGTTCGCTACCAGGCTAACCTATCCCGAGCCTGTAACAAGTCACAATGTGAGAGAGCTGGCCCAAGCGGTGATAAATGGGACCGAAAAATGGCCCGGTGCCTCGGCCCTTGAAAATGAAGCTGGACAAATCTTGAACCTCAGGTGGAAGACCGCCGAGGAGCGGGAGTCTTTGGCTCATCAACTTTTGACGCCAAGCACAATAAACAACGGAGGAGTCAAAAACAAAAAAGTGCATCGACACCTTGCTAATGGGGACGTCGTATTGATGAACCGACAGCCAACTCTTCACAAACCGTCTATCATGGGGCATCGAGTTCGCGTGTTACCGGGCGAGAAAACCATTCGAATGCACTATGCGAACTGCAATACATACAATGCCGACTTCGATGGTGATGAGATGAACATGCACTTCCCACAGAACGAGGTAGCCCGGGCAGAGGCACTTCAATTGGCCGACACCGACCACCAATATCTCTCGGGTACCCAGGGAAGCCCACTCCGAGGATTGATTCAAGACCACCTGTCAATCTCAGTTGCGCTTTGCAGCAAGGATACCTTTGTCGACAGGGGTGATTATTACCAGCTAGTATATAGCGCACTCCGCCCGGAAAGTGGCCACATTCTCCGAGATAGGATTGAGCTTATTCCGCCTGCCATTTTGAAACCCAAGCCGTTATGGACCGGGAAGCAAATCATTTCCACGGTACTGCTCAACATAACCCCGCCTAGCTGCGGAGGTCTTTGGATGAAAGGTGGTTCAAAAATCAACGGATCCGCCTGGGGCCCAGCTGGAGTCGAAGAGGAATCGGTTATTTTTGACGATGGTGTATTCATCAGCGGAATTCTTGACAAGTCTCAGCTGGGTCCATCGTCCGGGGGATTTATCCACTCCGTACACGAAGTCTATGGCCCAACCATTGCCGGCAAGCTCCTAAGTAGCATGGGCAGACTTCTTACCCGCACTCTACACATGCGTGCCTTCACTTGCGGTATGGATGACCTTACTCTCACGCCAAAGGGAGAGCAGTCGCGCGGCGAGAAATTGGAGGAATCGCAATACATCGGTCTCAAAGTGGCGGCAGATTATGTCGGCATGAAAGATCAAACGCCTTCCCCCACGGATCCTGTGCTCATGAGACGACTTGAGGAGGTAATGAGAGACGATACGAAACAAGAGAACCTTGATATGCTCATGAACGGGA